CACCCGAGGAGTCACGACAGGGAGATCGGTGACGATATTTCCGCTTTTTTGTGTTGTGAATCATGTTAAAGATATCATGTAGAAAATTGGACAGTTTTCAGTAATACGAGCTTGAGTCAACAAAACCAATGAGAAGACAAGTACTGCTACCTGAGTCCTCGACGACCCCTCCCAACCCCACCCAAACCCTTAATCCCCTCCCTTTTTCTTTGCCACAAGATTTAATTAATTCCTCAGCAAGTAATTCTGTTTATTCTGAAGATGGCGGTGTCTACGTATACGGCAAGAATTATTACTTTCTGGTACCTTTCCGACACTTTCTGCGTTTTGTTTTAATATAAATCCTCTAGATACATTGAAATCACACCGCAGAATTATTTCAGTGTATTCTCGTACTCTTTAAACGGTCGCTTTTATACGCACTCATAGTATTCATCAATTTAGAAGGGGAAGTGAAACAAGAGTATGCCGAATTGAATATCATGTTACCACCAGCTTAATATAACACCTTTGAATTCCTCACAGATGGACTGAAATGAGAACAAATGATAAAATGAATGCGATAACTATTTCACAGACGAGGAGAAACCCATTATTCGGATTTCCCCCCTTTTTTCATTTCATAAAATATGACCCTTTAAGGCAAAGAAAGGGAGAAAATCGTCCAAAGGCTGTTGAATGAGAGTTTGCCTCTCTCTTCCAATGGGATTTCTTGAAATAGAACATTTATAATGTGAAAAGTTGATAGCTTTGATCTTGGTAATACCGAAGGATGATATTTCGATTCTTTACCTGCATCGTTATTTCAATAAGTTTCCAGGGTTTTAGACATTAATAACAGTCAAAATGAGCAAAATATGCTAATATCCTAAAAAGATGAACGGTCAACAAACTAAACATTTTACATAAACAATTGTTGGCCATTTGTAGCATTATTTCGGTTGTCTCTCTGATTCATTATCTACTGTACGTGTAGGCCCTATATTCATCGCACATATGGGACGTAATTGTTTGTGAAACCTGTCCGGAGGGATACCTCTCTTGACGCTTTTGGCTACAAGTTTAGTATTCCGTAATAACTCGTAATAATCCAATCAATACGAAATATTGCACCTGTTTAAGCAAAAAATGGCCAATGTTTCAGACCAATAGGTACTTTATTCTAAGAGGTAATTACTTAGAATAGATCCTGAACTAAACAAGACTATTTTTTTACTTAAAGTAAGGCCCCATTCAGAATAGGGGACTAACTAGTGCAAGGCTCAAATATGGCCGACCCACTTGAATGCGGGATATCTATTCAGTGTCTTTTAGCGGATTACCATATTTGGCCCTCGGACTAGTTAGTCCTCTGTTCTCAATGGGGCCTTAAAGACCAATATTTCAGGTTTAAGTCCGGTTGTGCAACCTGCCCCGGGACCCGCAGGGTATTAAGAGACGCCCCTCTATATCCAGGGTACCGGTGATATGATTACATCACCGGTTCTTAACTGACACGTTATGATAGGTAGTTAACCCCCTAGTAACAGCTCCACGTCCCCAGATTAATATTTCCCCAGTAATAACAGTGATTTGGCCCATTGGTCATTTCTAAGTCCGACACCTACGCCCATCTGTTGAACGCGTTGGTGCCCAGGGGTCAGTGCGCCAGGTGGTCAGTGGTCAGCGGTTTGGCTGGATTCTCTCACTGACCACCGCGTTGTGAGGTTCAAAGTTGTAATTTTCTCGCATTAGGGAAGGGAATCTTCCAGGGGACAATTTCAGCCGGGAAATGTGCAATCTGTCGGAAAATCGGCTTCTCTGTTTTACGTCAAACTCCCTTAAGTCTTTCTAATTGACCACCACAGCGGTCATATTATGGTCACTTAAGTGGCCGAAATTACTTGCTGGCCATATGGCTGGTTGGAGGTTTTGCTACCTGGAAGGTGCAGTAATTAAGGGACTGAGATGACTCGTTTGATAACGCCGCCCCTTTTACCGCCTTAATTCGTTTCCATAATAACGTTCTATATTATCGCTTTCCCAGTCGTGAAATTGGCAGCGGGGGAAATAAGCGGTGATTACCTATATGGGTGTGTGCAAATGAAATGTTTTAAAATTGGATGAGTAATTCTTGAATGGCGATTACGATGGTTTTGGAAATGGCAATCAAAATGTTTCAACATCGGATGGATTCTTTGTGAATAGTGAATACAATTGTTCAGGAAACGCAGTCAAGATGATTTTAAAATAAGATTTGCTAATTGAACAGAATTGGTATGAAAGGAAACTTTAAAGATCCTTGAAATATTATCATAATAAGCAGCCAACTTACTATCTGTTTTGCTGATTTGAACTTATTTGTAATTGTTTAAGCGTATTAATCTCGAGTTACAGTCTCTTGTATCAACGTAAGAAGAGTGTTTTGGTTTATCTTAAATGTCGCTTACAGATGCGACATGTATAATAACCAATGCAGACAATTGATCAACAATACTACTCCCCTCCTCCCTCTCCCTACAAAAAAAAAAATGAGCTCAATAATAATTATTAATTAATTAAAGGGAAAAGGGGGGAAAGAAATAAATCTCATAGCAGTGACATGTGGACAGATATATCATTTATTTATTTATTTATTTATTTATTTATTTATTTATTTATTCCTATCTTCAACCTAGACTATGATTTAAAATCTGCTAAGATACACAAGGTCGAATGATGTGACAAAAACCTACCTGGGCTTATATTGGAGGAATATAGTTGATCGCGGGTAGTGTTGCCGTTCATCGTCAAATAAGAAAACAGTAGATTTCATAAAATAATATGGACTTCGGAGAAGGCAATAATATGAGAAAGTTCTGCACTTTTAGTTCAATTTTTGGCGAACTTTATTTTCCAATTTTGTAGCACGTTATTTGTACTTGTTGAACTCGACAACAACAACTACGAAATATCACATACCATATATTCATATGAACACATCTTAGTAGCTCAGAAATACAGATTTAAGTCTACATCTACGTGAGTTATTACGACTGCTTTGGAAGTGTGAACAGAGTCCCCTGATTGATTTTTCGAGAAACGTTATTGAATAATTAGCACTTTTTTTGTTGGGCTTCGTACCGACAGGTCAAAGTTTAAGAATTAGTTGGCTATCAAGAACAATACAAAAATATCTTCATGTTAGTCTCTCTCTCTCTCTCTCTCTCTCTCTCTCTCTCTCTCATACCCATTAAAAAGTCAACCACTGTTCATCGCATTAAACTCAAATTTGACCCTGTTGTTATAGCAACCGTATGAGCGATTGGAGTATTGTGGCAAGGACGAGGAAAATACTGATAAGCATGCGGAAGAGTACATGACCTACTCTTTGCCTCAAAACTGAGACGATTAATTCGTCATTCTACATTTAATTAAAAACAAGCTGTGCTGTTAACGCGTGCAACTCAATTAAAATGACATGGAAACGCTGTTACGGCGATAAAGACCAATGGCAACAAAAATAGTTACAAATGGAAACAGAAATTTACATCTGAGAGAGAGAGAGAGAGAGAGAGGAGGGTGTATAGATTCTGACTGTGTTTAGAATTACGTTACATTATAAAACACATTCGCCAGAGGAAAACACAATGATAAAATATTGTTAACTACAGATGAAGTTATATACGAGTATGATGAAGATACTTGCATTTGTTCTAACAGAAAACTAACAAGGTTAAACATGTTTAATAGTTATGCTATAATTTCTTACTTTGAAATAATTTCCACAAGCCCAAAATGGAGGCTTTAGGAAGAGTCCCGAATCTAAAGCTCTGATTTCTGGTAATACGTGTGCGAAAACCTCTGTCTTTTTTGTGTATTGGTCGAATTGTGAAAGTGAGGCTAGCTAACTTTATACAAAAGATGAACAGTGAACCATAATAAGTATATTCACTGCTACTCATTTGTTTTGAAAGAGGTGATACTTAATTTGATCGTGCTTCACCATAAAATAAAAAATTTGGACAAAATAAATTCTAGCAAAATATCATTAAAAAGGGTTTGCTGATGTAATGTTATTTTCAAATATGAAAAACAATATGATTTTCCTTGCTGCTGCAAACATGGTGTATTTGTTTACATTTTTTAGTTTCACACATTTTATTCTTTTTACTTTCTTTTAAGAAAGAAACAAAACAAATCGTTTTTTTTCCACACAATTCACCAAAAGATCGCCAAAACATATAAAATATTCGAAATATTTTAAAAGGTGAAGAATACTCAACATACAGAGGTGGGAAACGGAGGACAACAATAGCGAAAAATGAAGTTAAGAGAGGTCAGATCTCTCCATCAGTAACACCGTGGTCATCACACCACGAGTCGTAACCAGCAGAAATATTTTACACACCTTGGGGCGAAAATGTTGTAATTCCCCCTCCCCCCGCTGTTTTCAAAGGTGGCCCAGGCCCGCGTTAATGGCAGGGCTTTGTAAACTACCGTTACCGCCCGCTGTCTGTAAGCGGAGCTAATTGGGGTTCTCCTATACAATGCCCCATTAGCCAAGCAGCCCTGGAGTGCTTGGAAATTTTGCACAACTCGTCTCGATCGAAATCAAGTTTGAGCTGTATAAGCGTACATAATGATCTTGGTTTGTTTGTGAAGTCTTAGGTATAATTTCTTCGATCTCCAATTCTGTGGCGATCGTTAATTTTTCAACCTCACCACGGCCTTTTGAGATCTGGCTTCGTCACGAGCAATTGACGGCCTTTGTGATGTCCCAAAGAGCAAGTGCTCGTGCGATATGCTGCCAAAAGAAGTCATTGTAAATATTGTGAAAATCTATATTCACTCTCAATAAAGAGGTTGAAAAGAAATTTCTACCATTATCTCGCTCTAGAAAATATATTGTTAACAAGATGAAAAGCCCTTTTCTTCCTCTGTTATATTACGCCATTGGCTTTGCAGAGCATCTTTTAGCATGGTGAATAAAGGTTATTGAAAACTCGCATATTTTGACCAAAGACGTTTTCTTTCCCCAGCAGATGGTCACGCTACTAGGGATGGGAGAGAATCCGTCTACTAGCAATACGCCATAAAGGAGAAAGGAAGAAGTACACGGCCTCGGTGCTGTCTTGTCGGGAACATCTTCGGGAGGCATTCTCCACTGCCCCAAGTCTGCGGCACTTCGGCCTAAGTCGACTATGAATCGAAACATGGCCACCATTCGACTTCAAAATTCTCCGCCCTAATAATTCTCATTCCTCCTTGGATTATACAACATGATATCCCCAAACGAAGTGGATATTCGTATTCAATTGACAGGATTTATTTACACCAATTCTGGAATATAAACTTCGAGGGACATGTCCACGAAAAGACGCCGCCCCAGACTGACCAACGTCCAGAGAAAGGTATGTTTCTAAATCATTTGGCATTATCTAATAAGATATTTGACATTGGGGTATAAAAACGGAGCAATTGTTTGTTACTACGTTCTAATAACCCTACTAACAAGTGTGACCTTTATAAAACGATTTCGAAGATTTCAAAAATAACCAAATTTCCCAAACATGTCTAAAAATGTCGCAAACATTTAAACTGTTCGTTTCATCTGCCAAATGTGGTGCAAAGAACATCACACTGTGCAGACGACCAGTAGCTCGCGAGATGTCATGTCGTCTGCTCGAGCTCTCATCTTGTGTGTCACCAGCGCGCGCAATCGATAGAGCGCGCAAACACTGTAAGCGAACTGCTGACTAACATCAAGTCAACAAACGCTGTCGCTCCAACTTCCAGCAAGCCACCGCCAGCTCGATTCGCTTCTCACCGTTGACAGGCATTCTGTTTACACGTCAGAACAGCAGTGAGACCTTCTCTCAAATATCCAGAAGCTATCACACCATTTGCCAAGAGTCAATAGTCTTCACGCTTATCTGAAGCTTTGGCATCGCTGACGGCTTGCTTGCTAGGCTCGGCAGTTTGTTCAAGGCAATTTCAGTTTTTCTATGCAACCCATTGAATTAAACATGTAATTAGTTTGCGTAATTGCAGAAAAGGAAGGCAAAGTTTAAAGATTGACTATTAAAGACCATTGTGGTTAGTTAGTTTAGTTCAATTGAGATGAAGGAAAACTCCTAACAGTTTTTAGATGATATTTTGGCGAAAGAATACCGCCTTAAACAAATGTTTAGCAACCATCTTTTCTTTAAATATTTTTTCACTGGCGATCATAGGCTATATCTTATTTCATCCGTCGTTGGTTAAACCAACCGTTTTCTTAAATATATTTTAGTGAAAAATTAAAATAAAAAACGTTATGCTCAATTGCAAAGACAGTTTACGCAAGAGATAAGCAAATAAGACATTTTGTTTGGTAATTTGCCATGAATTATTGACATGGGGTATGCAATACTGTCCTTTATTTTTCTGTACTTAGTTACACTGGCACTGACGGTCAGTCGGCGTTTATTATGTAGCTTTAATACTACGTCCACAGGGCAAAGTGTAATGACCGTGGAGTGACCACTAGTATAGAATGTCCTTTATTGAGATAACCAACCACTTCCAGTGTCCAGTGTACAGAGTGACATCATTCTTTGGTGATGTCATTTCTTTTTTTTTTTCTATATTTTTATTAACTTTGTCCGTGTGATTAAACTGCAAGGGTGGGATCGTTTCACGGATTGCGAGGGGGGAATAAATGGTGTCGGTATCACTATGAGTCTATTATAGGAATCTGATATATTATTTCTTGGGGTAGAAGGACGTTTTAACGAACCTACTAATAACTGGTAGTGAAGATTAGAATAATTTGTCCAGTTTAGAAAAATATATAACGAGTTTGCAGCTACCGTGGGAGCGGCCATTACTGTGTCCACCCGCGCAGTCAGTGTCCGAAGAGTCCGGCACGCACCTGCTGACCTAAGGTGCCTGTCAACCCGATGAAATTGACCCTCGGCTTAGGGTGACGTAACATTAAAAGCTTTAGGGAGAGTAGATTTCGTCTTAATGCAAATTTGATGCCTCTTAAGTCAATACCTGACCGGCAGTAAAACCCGCTTCATCCCCCGAATGTTGACCCAATCGCCCGCAATTCTGTTTCTTCCCTGGGAGTCGGTTTCCGAAACTGAGTGCGTGCAAATTTTGACTTTATTTACTTTGGGCTAATCGAAAATTTCCAACGTTATGTGCACCTGCCGCCACGACTGAGTTAGGTAGTGGGTTAGCTAAGTAGCAAGCTGGCTAATGCGACAAGTTGTTAGTTAGTTAGTTCATGTTTTAGCTAGTGATTTAGTTAAAATAAGTAGTTAGTTGATCAATTAATTAGCGATCGAGATGGTTCATTATTTAAGTTCGGTTAGACGGATTGAAGTAAGTTGTCAAAGATAGCCAGTCTATTTCAGTGGTGAAGAGTGATACATCCCTGCCTTTCTGTTTTAGTAAACGTCCGTATGTGTGCGTGTGTTTGCATGTGTGTGCGCGTGCTTGTGTGTTGGGACGGAGGGGAGACTCCTTTCCCTCGTATCTATTCCTTTCAAAATGCATTCTGCTGCACATATGTGACCGAACTTAAGCCTCTAGTCAATTCTCTCAGTGACTTATTTGCCAGACGCTATATATGTTGACTGGCTGAAAAGCATCGATATGGAGTTCAGCATGTTATAACTAGTAAACAATTATGTTTAAGGTATATATAATTGACTTTTTAGAAATAATTTATCTTGGTGTCCGTAATTGTGAATGAACCTCTTTTTAATAATAAAATACAAGAATATATTTCAGTCGTGAAAATAAACGATAAAATGTTTTACTGGACATATCATTGCTTTCAGCAATCCAAATAATAATAATAATAATAATTAAAAACTAAATAGAAAATTATGGCAGCATAGTAATAATAAAAAAAAACAAGCAGTTTGATACTGACCAATTTTCTGAGCAAGAAAAAGTACAAAGCACCGAAGAGTTGCTTTTAAAAATGTCATCCCTGTGCACTTTAAATTGGTGATATTTAACATCTCAGTACCGTAAGTTATTTTTAAATCCACCAAGCACAAATCGCGGTCGCCGTCCTTATCGTATTTCTGAGTTGAAGTCGTCTTGTCAAACCCGTGACAGCTACTTTTGAAATTAAATTCAGACCAACTGACAGAATCTAGGGTTGGGGATTTTTTCTGTCGCATTAAATGATAATTTGAAGTCGTCTTAGGTCACGGGGTGAGCGCAAGGCATCTCCACGTTTTAAATTCGGGGTTTTTAATGCGATGTTCTATATTACACCGCTTTTTTTTTTTTGGGTAGACAAGGAGAATACTTGAACGGTCTGGTGAGATCCCTTGTAAGACATTTAGTGCTCGGATAGTGAATTAAAGACAAAGATTCAGACCTATTTTTTTACAGTGTGTGCGTGTTTGTGCGTGGGTGCGCGTGCTGATTTTGGATATTTTTTTTTACCATCTATATCATAAAGCAACTTTACCACTTTGTAAATGAGATTTAAATTATGCCAGGTGCGTTCTAAAATGAATCACTTATTTTCGTCGCAGAAACGTATTACTTATAAGACAAGCTATGGGAGTTGATGATATCGAGAACTGGTGATATTCATATTTTGACATCGTGAATGACAAATGGGAAAACCTCTGCAAACTTTGAAATAAATAATGCTGACACGAAGACATCTATACCCTCTCTCTCTTTTGATAAACACACACACATAATTATTATATATTCTCTATAAGACACGAGACCTGTAACTGAAAAGCAACAGCAAAAATTTGTTTTTTTTTAATCTTTGTCACTCATTCATTCATTCTCTCTCTCTCCCCATCTCTCTCTCTCTCTCTCTCTTTCTCTCTCTTTCTCAGGCATTGCATGGATGAAAACCGGTTCGTAATTCCATCCGCCGATGGGGAGCTTCAGGTGGCTGCGTAGGAATTAAATTGGAGAAAAAATATCTGGGTTGAAATTGACAATGCCACGTGACGATGATGTCGATTTCAGGGTAGAGTTTCAGTCGCAGACCTGGTCACGGACCGCTGCGTCACGTTGTCACTGGGACGTACCTGGGACGTGACTTGCCTTCAGAAAACTTAAGGGAACTTAAGCCTACCTGGAGGGCGGCTAATAGGGGATGTCTGGAAAGTTTCCGAAAATTTCCCCTTCGTGTAATCATCAGTTATGCACAGAAATGAAAGTCTTGTATTTGGGGGTGGGGGTGGGGAAAGGGAGGGGGTTGGCTGCTGTTATGTAATGTGTTTATCAATTCATAAACTGCGCGAGGGAAGGGCATGGCTTTTTTCCTTCTTCTTGAATTATTTCATGTGACTAAGACTGCTGTAATATTAAAAATAATGGGGGAACACAGCATTCAGAATGGGAAGGTCTGTTCTTACTGGGGTTTTACCTATAGAATGATTCTGGAAAACAAAGGAAGACGGAAGATCATGGTCCAAAATAAAAATGATAATTTATTAACAAGAAATGTCTTCTGATCAGACGTTCAATTACTGCTGAAGCCAATACTTAAAACATTTGGCCCAGGGGACTACACATGATACACGTTATGGATGACTTGGATGTTTTTCTCGAGCGAGAAAAGACTAATTAGCAGTCCCAATACATTATGACACTTATTTCAATTGATTAAGAATTATTCAGTACAAATACTACCTTGTCTTAATCGAAACAATAGCAATTAGCAATAAGAAATTCTCCATGCTTTGTAAAAGCAACCCAATAATTTGTAACAAAGGGCACCTGAAAATAATGCTACTGGAAGAAGTTCAGTGAAAACCGGAAAAAATGAAATAATTTAATAAGGCGCGGAGTGATAACTACCTTCGATACCTAGGATGACGTCACGAGCTGACATTCCGTTGTCCAGCATTCTATTTGTTGCTCTTGACAACCAAGTAATGTATGAACGCTGTAGGACAAAATACACTTTTCTTAGGGGAAGTTGAAATAGTTCAACTTGATTTGTACGGTCTTCGAAGCAAGCTGAGATTTCTCTCACAGTTAGGCAACAACGATGGATTCAGGCCATTCACGCTGCTGTGGGTTGATATGTGCCTAGTGTATTATAGTATTACAATATCAAACGGGCGAAAAAATTAGTAGCAACAATTGATTACAAATATTCCTTCGTAAATTTGGCTGATACAAAAAAAAATTAAACATTTTTTACTGTATAGAATAACATTGTGAACCCTGTCGGAAGTGGGATTATCGCATTTTGCCAACTAATAAGGCAGAGTCCGTTTAAATGTCATTTGTGTCAAAAAACAATTAACGGGTCTTAAGACTGACGTAGAATTAAGAGAACATCGTTAATTTCAGGGTATCCGTAAAGCAATTTCTTGCCCAGGAATTAAACTGATTTCGCATCTTAAATACACCTGCACTTCCAAACAACTTGTCACTTTCTGTCCAAACAAATAGTATGTTCTTTTCATAGATTTTAATTAATACATTTTGTTCATATAAGAATGGTCAATTATTAATAACGATGATTTAAATGATAACTTTACCAGCATTAAGTACACATTTTGATATGCATTATAGATAGTTCAATGTTATAGTTCAAGATAATTATAGCTAGAGTACATACTGCAATACGGAGTAGACTTGTGCTACATCAAACAGACCCTTGGAGTAGAAATTAGATTACCCTCTCCCTCTCTCTCCCTCTCTCGTTATAATTTTCTATATGAGTTAGTAGAATATGTCACTATGTTAGAGACATTGAGTTGGATGAATTTTGTTAGTTTTTAAAGAGATGATTTCACACATCAATATTAAGGTTAAAATATTGAATTTTTCTGTTGAATTATTTCACTTTTCCTCCCACAAATGTTCCTGCGTGTGACCTACAATCTATTCGGGGTTTTCCTCTTATTTGTATTCTGCTTCAGATCTTATACACCACAATATCAATACATCTTCAGTGCAGCAATTTTCAAAAACATTAAAAGAAAGCAATCCAACAAATCATTTTTGTCCTTGGCCATGCCAGAGCCAGAAATGCAATCAAAACAATTTAATTTATATTTACATTTCCATCTCTGTACTAGCGACATCGATTTATTGTAATCAAGCTATTGTGCTATCCAGGTGTCTTCTTAGCCATGTTTTCAAAACTCCATGCTTCAGATATCGATTCCTTTAGAAAACTCCACATCAGCATGCATTGTGCAGTGAAAGAGGCCCGTGTTTGTTCAAACACGCCAAGCAGTCTGCCTCGACCTTCGTGTTCTGAGTCCTTTGGTGACTAAAACATCGGGTATCACTCCTTCTCAATGGGCATCCCAGCTCTACGCATGCATGCCTATTCTACGCATCTTTTGTCGCCTATATTATTTGTTGTTTTTTCTGTGTAATTCCGTCGTTGATGAAATGATCTATTATAACAATTGCATTCGAATTTTACAAATTATGTCGATACCTTCTAAATAGTATTTGTGGTAGAATTTCCCCTCGTTATTCGAATAATGTCTTTTTTTTTAGTTTTTTAGGTTCTTAGGTCTCAATGTAATTGCAAAACGAAATAAATAAATAAATAAATAAATAAATAAATAAATAAATAAATAAATAAATATCATCATCCTCACTCGTAAAAAGAATCGCCACTCATCGCTCGTATAGGTGCAGGGCAGAGGAAAAAGCGGGGATTCCCGAAGTCTTCTCGCTTTGTCTAGCGTCTAAGGGGGACAAAACCACGGTGCTGGTTCTCCTTTAGGGTTTCCATTGATCCGGGGCCACCGTGGTTTGGGGCCATTCACTTCTTGTCCTTGCTTTACCTGAGGCGTGCTCGCACCAAATACATCGATATTATGTTCCATTGAAAGAACTTTAGTACAGCTGTAAAAATGTTTGTATTTGTGGGAGAGGGGGGGGGGGGAGAACCTCCTGTTTATTGATTTTACGGATAACTTTATTTAAAATTCAGTGTAGATTTTAATTTTAGAAATGCTACTCAGTTGTGCTTACTCAAATCAGAATTCAATTTTAGATAATTTGATACCTATCAAAGTTAAGAATAATTCTTAAATTAGTTCCTAATTTAATGTCCATTTAATCCGTCTGATATTTGAATATCTATCTTTTTTTTTTTGCCAATGGTAAATTTCTGTTTTCTTACCAGACAATCAACATTACGTTACATAACTTTTGACCTGCTCTGCCTATTATTATAGACGAATTTTTGGAAAATGAATTTTCCTGAAGGCTATCAATTCATTAAAAATTGACTAAAAGCAAAAAAAATTAAATTGAACATAAATCGATCTGTTGTAAAGAACATATTTTACTCTTTTTTTGGTCAGAGAAACAGTGACAGTCGATAACGTATTTATCAGTGAACGGAATCGGATAAATAAGTCACTGTCGATTATCCTTAACCCCTTCGAAATTTATATCCACGTGCAGGAGGGAGACTTGTTTGTTTTTTACAAGGACCTGTTGCTGTATATCAATTTTATGTTCAGGGTTCGTCTTGTATTTATATCCAGACGGGCGCTGTGTGTATATTTGATAGCAGGCTGAATATTCTGAGTTTGATACGTTGAATAGACATACAGCAATCACACTGATTGCTTTGCTTCGGTGATTATCGCCAATATGTATGTTTATAATTTTTAATAAATTTCCCGTGTTTTTTGCAGGAAGTTCAATTTCGATCTTATCCTTGCTAAACTAGAGTTTGGACAAGTATCCTGTTAAGTCCATATGAAACCTTGACTTTTTCAAATATAACCTTTAAATAAGAGCGAAATTGGTGCTATATGTAAACACTGTGCCATATTAAATAAAGGACATCCGTTTGTGTGGGTGTATTTTTTATAATAAACAAGTGCCACTTTCCACATCAAGATGTCAGATATTATAACCGGACGTCCTTTTCTGCACTCGCTGACTTCTGACGAGAGCCCATCTTCATACCGCAGCATACACGTTAGGATTTGTCGCGCTCAGCCCCTTCGAGCTTGATTCCGCTTATGTTTGCCGTCTCCCGGGCGACGTTTGCCTAACACAAACTCGCTATTGACGCTCAACTCTGACAGGCATGCAGTTGGACAGCCAGCAAGCCGTCGAAGCCGAAAGTATGTTAACTAAACGGGAGCCGTGTGACAGGCCGCGTTGTGGCATTTGATTCTGTATCTAAACTGAGTGTAGCAAGTTTGCTGTCATTTTATGATTAAATGTGCATAGTTTGGTATCAGACTGCTTTGCAAACATGCAAATGACTCTTGTGTACACCTTCTGTTCTAATAATGCGCCAACGCGGTATTATATGATTAGAATTATCACCATACGATAAGGTATATTTTCTAGAATGCACATATGCTTGTTTGCAAATGAAACATAAGGCGTTAAGAAGGTAAATCAGTTATGCTTGCTGACTTTTTTTAAAGATTATGGTTATTTCTAAAATGCATACATTCCCTGCAGCTAACATGCCATCTTGTACATTAACTAATTATACCAGTACATGTATTACACAAGTGACAGTTTTTATCGGGTTTCTAAGCTTAAAATATCTCTTCTTGTTTGCACAGTTAAACTATTGAACCTTTATAAAATAATTTAAAATCGGGTTGGAAATCTATGGCAATGCACTTAGGTTGAAAAAAGAAGTAGGAACTTGTGACTCGCCTTCGGTGCATTCCCATTAACGTTAAGTCGCTGAAATAACCATACTCACCTAGCTGCACCCCCCCCCCCCCCATTTCACATTGACATATTCACTCACTGCAAGCCCCGCCCCCAGCGTCTCACCTGTACATAGTGACGTCATCAGGGAACTGAAATTGACAACCACCTCTGGTGAAATTAGCATCCATCAAGGCTGTCAGAATGCCGCGCGCTGATTGGCCGAGCCGGTGATTATTTGTTCCTTTCGTGCCAATCACTGAGGCAGGGAGCGTAAGACAGGTAAAGAAAGAGCTGGGACCGGGAAAGCGGACTGTACACTGAGGTTTGAGACCCAACTTTGAAAAGAGACCCTTTCGGAGAGATCCGGCCATTATTAACCGGCCTGTCGTATTGAAAGCTAGACAACGAGGCCTATTGAGCTTCACTGTGTGTACTAAGAGAGACAGAAAGAGAGAGGGAAGGAGAGAGGCACAGCTTAGCTAAGTAGGACTGGCTACACGTATATTGATACTGTGGTGGACGACTACAACAGCACAGTAGCAGGTAGATCAACCCCATAGTTCTGTGATATTTATATTATACTCATCATCCTCAACTCTGCCATCACGTTGGTGAACTTTTTTTTGGTCAAACTTCTTTGACTCACCATCCAAGTGAATGTATCATACCATGGAAACGGAGTTAAAACCGGGAATACAGGACCCGGCCGTCACCGTCCCCCAGGTGACAGCCCAGCAACTAGGACCCATGCAACAGACTCCCACCACGATGAGTTCCTCGGCCCCAGCCAGCCAGCCTCAGGGCGGCCAGAACGGTGGATCCAATGCTCAAGCCAACGCCGCCGCCGCTGCAAAAGCCGCTGCTGACAGAGTTAAGCGTCCCATGAACGCGTTTATGGTCTGGTCGAGGGGGCAGAGGAGAAAAATGGCACAAGAAAACCCCAAAATGCACAACAGCGAAATCTCTAAACGCCTTGGCGCGGAGTGGAAGCTCCTGTCGGAGGCGGAAAAGCGACCGTTCATCGACGAAGCGAAGAGACTGCGCGCCATTCACATGAAAGAACACCCCGATTACAAATACCGTCCACGACGAAAGACAAAAACTCTGATGAAGAAAGATAAGTTTGGTCTCCCCGGGATGCCCGGAGGGCTCCCAGGGCAGCAGATGCCAGGCCGGGAGATGTACATGAACGGCTACATGCCTAACGGGTACCCAATGATGGCACACGACCCTAGCTCTTACCAGCACCCTCACATGGCGGGCCAGATGCAGATGCCGATGGGGCAGTATGGTATGTATGGCGCCCCACCGGGCCAGATGCCCCCACAGATGACCAGCGGGTCGTACATGAACGGGTCCCAAAGCTACACCATGTCCATGGCCCCTTACATGCAGCCTCCGGTCCAACAGATGCCCCAAGGGGTGAAAGCAGAAGGGGGCGCGCAGCCAGGAGGCCCCGCGGGGAGGGGACAGAGATGTCCAGGTGATATCAGAGACATGATTAGTATGTATTTACCTGGGGACTCTAATGACCCCAATATAAACGCTCAGAGAGCCGCGGCCATGCAGATGCAGGGGTACCCTGCTGTGGCCCACTCCTCTCAATCTTCATCAGAACAGGGAGTAACAGGGGGACAGGTACAGAACACAGTCCCGTTAACGCATATGTGACAATTACAGCAACAATCTCAATAACAATCCATTTTACAATATCATCATTGTTATTGTTGATTGCGACGACTCCATCTGTTCTCTGATGTGGTTGTTCTTGTGTGAGAAGAAAGAGGAGACAAAATTCGGCGGTGGCCCAGTCGTCTCGTTTCAATCACATTTCCAGTACAATCTTTATTACCAGTCCCAAGACTTTTCATTTAATTTTCTTTTTTTGAAGTGAAATGCACAATCAGCGAACTGAATTCCCAAAGATCACGCACTCACCGAGTTTTGTGAAGTAATTTTATAAAGTTGAGCAGACCAGAGAAAGAGAGACACGCCGTGCTAAGGCTCAGCTTGAAGCACCTCCGACCAAACAAACTTCCAATTAAAAAACTTACTCTGTACAAAAGAATTGACGTTTTTGTGTGACCCTTAAATGCCGTGCACTGTGAAACTCTAAGGAATTTAACAGGCGTCCAAACCGACCTTCAATTGCACCTCGTGAAAGGAAAAGAAAGACTGCTACAAAAAGTCGTTGATGGTTACATCCTCATTTCATCATTTCAAAATGGCGCGAGGAGACAGCGGAAAAGCCGAACACGGGAGTTTTATCCCGGCAGTTATTTTTCCTTGAGACCGATCAAGTCTGCAAAAAAAAAAGACTGTAAACTGACTCTTCGTGACTCAAACAAGACTTTCAACTCTCATCGGCCAGACCTCGGACTGTGTCTTCCTGTAGTGAGTACTGCACAACTGAAAGTTGACATTTTCTAAGTTAGTTCAGCTTCCTCATGCTGCATGTACGTAGTTAATATACAAAACGCATGGTCGTGAAATCCCACCTTCCCCAAACCCTTCTCTCCGCCATTTTGGTTTGGACTTGATTACAAAATTACCGCCAGTATTTAAAAGTTGACCTTAGTGGCTTTCACATCTTACTGTGACACTTACAGGCGGCAAACAATTCATTGTTTGTAAATAATCTTTGCCTGACAAGTTGGTTCGCAAATAGAATTGCCACCTATTTTTCCTATAGAGAATTTATATTGCTCTCATTGTTAACCGAGGTCAGGGTTTCACAGTGAATTGAGTTTTTCTATACAGAACTATCGAACATCTATACGGGGTTTGAAACGGGAAACAAATGCTTTATTTATTACTATGAAAACGTTTCTATTGATATTAGTACAAGTATGAGCGAGAGTGAGGAAGGGTATAAGTCTGTCTGCTGCGCGGGATATATAGAAATAGATGAACATTTATTTCTTCAACAAGTAGGGTTGAGTTCTACGCATTTATGGATTTTTATTAATTTAATTCTTTTTTAATTTCAATGCGGTGTCGAAGACTCCTCCCAAGAAATTATTAATTATAAGATTAATTCTCTGTCAACGCATACTTTTTGTTACTTAACCAGAGCTGCGTGTTAGAGCGTTGTTCCTGATTAAATACGACAAATAAGTTGAGTCTGTAGGGATTTAATTAAGATGTAGTTATTTTGTCGCATTCCAGTTAATGGTGAAGCAAGTAGTCGCATAAGTAAGATATGCATTCAGCGACTTCCCAAAACATTCCAATATTATACTCATTATTATAAATATATATATAAAGAATTATCATTCCTCTCCGACCTGTATTGTCTCTCACTAGTTTTTTTAATTATTATCTAGAATGTGCCTGTGTTCCCAGAACGCCGTTACTTGTGTCAATTAATTAATGACACGTCCCAGTTAACTGTTGATTATAATTTTAACGGGTGCCAAATAAAGCGTCTGCCGTTTAGGGTCGCTGTAAGGGCCGTTAAAATCATCGCCACATATTTGTCAATCGTTTTGAAAATGACATGTGTTGTATAATTATTATTATTAATACTATATATTTTGTTTGTTTGTGTCGTGTAGGGTTTATAAATTTAGTAGGCTAGAAAGGTTTACGTATATGCATAATGGAGAAAGATGACCTATATTTTTTCTTATTTTTTCACTCGTAAGGTTCGGGTACGATTTTACCATCAGTTTAACTGACAGTGGATTTTTGACCAAAGTAGTTACAATAAATTCAACGCCATTCGAATATAGCAATGGAATGTTCCGTTATTATCTGTAGTGTTAAGCTATGTCTCTTCTCGGTTTTTATCTATTTAATTTGTCTCCTAATTAAGTTAGGTAACTTTTAATTAAGGTGACACGGGAGGGAAAGTGACAGGTGGCACAGCTGGTGACAGAAGTGACTAGGTGGCAGGGACTTGTTAAAAACACTGAAATTGTCCTCTACGAGATTTAATCTCTCCAACCGGTAGAGTAAAGCGGAGAGTACCTAAGTAGTCTCTGAGATAATTTTGGCAGATGTGACGTTCAACTTAACTCGTCCAATATTCCCAAGCAGAACTTAGCTCTCTCTCTCGGCGTTTTATATTTCTGTTTGATGCGTCTTTCTCACCTGCTAAGAAAAATGACCGTATTGACGAGGACCGCAGGTGTAGCAATGGCGGGTACCGTGCACACTCTCTACCTTCAGGTCCCCCGTGAGCCTCGTGAAGACTAGCAGTAAATTTATTTTAAATTCTCTGAAAAATAATTCATTTTTGCCAGTGCGAATATACAACCAGCAGCTCAGTTCACTTACTAATAAACGTGGAAATTGACTGAGCATCGTCTCACTTAAAAACAAAATTAATAATTTATCATCTGGACCAAAACTTCTGTTGGCATGAAGTGTTTTTAAGCCGGCTGTTTTAATTGTCTTAGTCACTGGTCACCCAAGCGTAGATATCAACCTAGCTGTGCCACCATGTCGCTCTAACTCTCGAGATGTTCATACATGAACTGCGCTGAAAGTTAGCATCATTCTCTCGCCTCTGCGCCTGAGGCAGTTTTTTTCCTTTACGTCCCCATTTTACAGAATATAATTTGAAAACTATTTTACATATATACGTATTTTTCTCATCATGTAAATCACAGAAGTCTTTTTTTAAGCATGACACAAAAATGTGTGGTGATGATTTTTTGGGGGAGGGGGGTGGACACATGTAATCTTGGGCCCACACTTACAAATATATGGATATATATATATAGCTGTATGATATATATATATATATTATTTTGAAAACGAAATACTGTGTTTTTTTAGATCTGTTATCAGGCCGAGGAAAGGAAATCTCCATTCCGTTAATTCAAATAAAAATGGGACGTTATCCTTATTTTGACTAAGTAGGATCTCAAAGTTTAAATATGTGGTGGTTCAGTTTTCGTCCCGTTCGCCTTAGACGTTTTTTATATAATATAAAAACTTTTCTCTCGGTTGTGTTAGTTAAGGAATCGGTTAATTGACAGTTTCCCAGGTATTCCAGCAGTTTTTGTTATTATAATTATTTTTGTAACCATCAATCTTCAGCATATTTTACTTTTTATCTGTGTCTGCCTTGTGAGCATTCCCAAACTGTTTGTCACGGATGTAATTAGCAGAGGATGCTGTATATTTTTCACTTCATGTTATTTTTCATGTATTATAAAAACATGTATAAAATGAGACCCACTGTACATATTTCTATACATTTTTGCACCATGCGTTGACTGTAAATGTACGAGTTAAAAGCATTTATTAAAGAGAGAAATGGCAACTTAGTTAAAAGACAGACTTTGAAGAATGATTTTTTCACGACGTAGCGTCTTCATTTTTTGACAAAGCGAAGACGAAAGAATAAAGTTTTGAATTTTCGTAAAATGCTCTGTGTAGAAGTTGTTTTGTTTTCCTACCTCGAATTATGATATGTGTGGAAAATTATTTAAATTTATTCGCAAAAATGTGATATATAGCTTATTTGTGCACACCGCTGTTTCTGAATGTTCACCATGTGTTAATTAGATTTTGATTTAATTTCCTTTCTGGTAGATTTACATCATTTCAGTAGACCAAATTTCTACTAATCTGCTTATCTGAACAAAAAAATTCAACAAAACAGTACATAATTTTAAAGGAATTTGACGACATCTAGCTAATTTAAGATCGGAAAATAATATTAACGGTGGAAATAAAAAATATAAACGACTGTTTTCGTATGTAATTATAATTGTCACATGAGAAATGTCAAGAAATATTTGAAAAAAATCCACATAAAATTTTCATTAACAGCAGTATATGATGATAAAAATCAGGATGCAGCACTTTTCCACACAAGGAGCGGTCTTAAAGCAAAATCGCCTGGACGAACATAAAAACTGTATATTTAAGTACAATTTGTGGTATCATCTAAGTACAAATTTACCACAGATAAGGGGCCTTGGTGTTACAAATATGATAACGTTAACGACCTGATAGTGGCGTAACTGTTACAACACAGTCACCAGAAATAACTTCTATTTTATATAAAATCTGAATTTACGAAAATAGAACATATCTCTTTCTGGCTATTAACTAAACTCTGCATTCGTCCTCAAAAGTATTTTGTGGTCATGTAGCAGTTTTTAAAAATTTGTTAATTTTTATCCTAGCATGGTTCAAGTCTTAGTCTCGGTTTTGTTGTGAAGATGTAGTTGTGTTGTTTAAAGCGTTCCCGGTGGAGCCGTGTCGTTCAGTTTTTTTCCCGTGGTACAGCGCCCTGCGCCGCCATATTGAGCACCGAGGAGTGATTTATCTTCTCGACGTCCTGGGAGGCGAAGCGTGAAGTCAGTCTTGCCCTGCTTCACTCAAAGTAGTTACAGGTAAAAACCTGCCAGGTAGATTGAAATTAGCGAGGCGTCTCTCCGCAGACGTTGATTGTGTTCACCTTTTAAATATGTTGTATTTAAAGTAGAGAGAGAAGCGGAGAGAGAGAGAGAGAGAGAGAGAGAGAGGTACATTTCTATTACTTCAATTGAACACAAAGAAAGAAAGAAATACACTCTAGAGTTCTACCTTCTTACAAATATTATCATTCAAAAACACCATGACCTAGAATTAAAACAGCTGTTCCTTCTTGCTTCTAAAATGACACTAGCCCAAGTGAAAAATGCGATTTATGAAATCCCCCCTCGCCCTGAAACCTGATCACACTGTCAACCCTCACCCGTTGATATAGATCACATCTAGTCCGTCTCAAATATCGGTGAGCAATCGTTATTATCATACCTGTAGGGGACGGTGACTTTGTTTTAAGACTCCAGTGATTTAATGACAAACGCGAATAAGTGGCTTCCGTGTGTTCTGAGTCAGAAATACTGCATTTTTAACGCAAATATAAGTATCCAATTCCATATGAAATAAATGTGATAAGTTTTTGAAGTAGGTGAGATTTGGGCGAAGGCATGAGATCCTGGACTAGTTCTTGTGGTGAAAACGAGGAAATGCTGAGGTGTTACTTTTTCAGACGACTGTTAGAACTTAAATGAGTACTTGTTGGCGGGACAATCGCAGGGTGATAATATAGACGACTACAGCCACGGAATTATCAACTCAACTTCCCTTTTCCTTCAACAAAAACTTCATAATGAAACAAAACAGTCCGTAACATATTCTAGGTTATTAAATATGAATTTTTTGATCCGAGTTAGTGAATAACCTCTTTGGCGGTTTACTATGTTAACGACAAGCTGGCTAAATATGTCCCCTTTGTATATATATATATATTACATGTATTGGTCATTTGCTATTTGGCCGTTTATTAGATTCCAATGGAGATAACT